CCTCTGGAGTCGGAAGCTCGCGCCGCATCGCCCGCCGCATCGCCCATGCACTGGCGATACATCGGCGCAGCCCGGCGCAGAGAAGACTGAGTTCCGCACCGAGCCGCATCGGCGATGCGGCGCGATCCTCCGAGCCCATCTGCTCGGGACCCCTCCGGGAGGATGTGCCCCAGGGGCCTAGGCGGCGGAGGCTCCGGCGTAGAACTTGTGAGTGCTTCTGCACAGCCAGTGATCCCACCACCTCGGGGCCCTTGATCCGCCACCTGGCCTCTGGCACGAAGTGGAATACAGCCAGCCCGTATCATAACGGTACGGATGCGAGGGCCTTGGAGGGCCACGTCGACACTTCGCGGGCGGGGCGCGGCCAGCGAGAGCGGCCACGGCAAGGATGGGCCGAGGAGGCAAGGATGCAAGGGTAGCCTTGGGGAGGTTGCCCATCCTCAAAGTGCGGGTTGACTGAACCCCAAGGCTCATGCAGCACCGAGAGGCAGGACGCTGTGCTGCTGCTGCAGCGAGAATTGGCCCGGACCAGTCGAGTCCCAAGCCTTCCCGGGGTTTCCCCGGCTGGCTCCCGTGAGTTCTGATGTGTTTCCTTAGCCTCCTGTGGACGCTGTACCCCCCCCCCCAAAAAAAAAGCGAACTCCCGAACCCTCCCATGAGTCCAACAGGGCTCCGAGTCGCCGAACGATCGATCCAAGACGCCCAAGATGCCATCAAGATGGCCCAAACGTCCTCCAAGGCGCCACAAGAGGCCTCCAAGAGGCCTCCCGAGAGGGCACCAAGAGACACAAATGACCGGACAGCTCGCCCCTTGGCCCCCCGCCAGCCCCAAGCCAAGGGGCGAGCATATATACGGGCGCAGCACCGCGCTGGATGCGTAGCCGTCGGCTGGGCCAACCAAGCGAATGACGCATCGCGTGGCGGCTGGATGCCCGCGCCGAGCACAGCTCTTCTCGGCTCCTCCCTCCTCCTCCTCCTCCTCCTCCTCTTCCTCCTCCTCCTCCTCCTCCTCTTCCTCCTCCTCCTCCTCCTCCTCCTCCTCCTCCCTTCTGCTGCCTCCTCATCCCGTCCGCGTCCTCCGCCTTCTTCCTCCTCGTCGTCCTCTCGGCTTTTTGCGTACAGGCATGATGCCCAAGATGTGGCAGGAAGTGCGATGCGTTCCCTAGTGGAAAAGCGAGCTTGAGCGCGCGTGCGGCTGCGGGCAGGCTGCGGCTGCGCGCGTGCCCTCTTGCGCAACTGGCCCAGAAATATCATCACCGTCCCTGGCGGAAAACCGCCACTGCCACCCGCGATATCCTCACCCGCTGGCTTAAGACTGCCACCGAAATATCCTCACCCGCTGGCATAAAACTGCCACCCGAAATATCCTCACCCGCTGGCTTAAAACTGCCACCCAAATATCCTCACCCGCTGGCTTAAAACTGCCACCCGAGATATCCTCACCCGCTGGCTTAAGACTGCCACCGAAATATCCTCACCCGCTGGCTTAAAACTGCCACCGAAATATCCTCACCCGCTGACTTAAAACTGCCACCGAAATATCCTCACCCGCTGGCTTAAAACTGCCACCGAAATATCCTCACCCGCTGGCTTAAGACTGTCACCGAAATATCCTCACCCGCTGGCTTAAAACTGCCACCGAAATATCCTCACCCGCTGGCTTAAAACTGCCACCCAAATGTTCTCACCCGCTGGCTTAAAACTGCCACCCGAGATATCCTCACCCGCTGGCTTAAGACTGCCACCGAAATATCCTCACCCGCTGGCTTACGACTGCCACCGAAATATCCTGACCCGCTGGCTTAAAACTGCCACCCAAATATTCTCACCCGCTGGCTTAAAACTGCCACCCAAATATCCTCACCCGCTGGCTTAAGACTGCCACCGAAATATCCTCACCCGCTGGCTTAAGACTGCCACCGAAATATCCTCACCCGCTGGCTTAAAACTGCCACCCAAATATTCACCCGCTGGCTTAAAACTGCCACCCAAATATTCTCACCCGCTGGCTTACAACTGCCACCCGAGATATCCTCACCCGTTGGCTTAAAACTGCCACCCGAAATATCCTCACCCGCTGGCCTAAAACTGCCACCCGAGATATCCTCACCCGCTGGCTTAAACCTGCCACCCGAAATATCATCACCCGCTGGCTTAAAACTGCCACCGAAATATCCTCACCCGAGATATCCTCACCCGCTGGCTCAGAACCGCCACCGAAATATGCTCACCCGCTGGCGCTTAAAACTGCCACCGAAATATCCTCACCCGCTGGCTTAAAACTGCGACCCGAAATATCCTCACCCGCTGGATAAAAACTGCCACCGAAATATCCTCACCCGCTGGCTTAAAACTGCCACCGAAATATCCTCACCCGCTGGCTTAAAACTGCCACCCGAGATATCCTCACCCGCTGGCTTAAAACTGCCACCGAAATATCCTCACCCGCTGGCTCCTCACCCGCTGGCTTAAACCTGCCACCCGAGATATCCTCACCCGCTGGCTTAAAACTGCCACCCGAAATATCCTCACCCGCTCCTAGAAAACCTGCCACCCGCGATATCCTTAAAACCTGCTTAAAACTGCCACCGATATCCTCACCCGGTGGCTTAAAACTGCCACCCGAGATATCCTCACCCGCTGGCTTAAAACTGCCACCCGAAATATCCTCACCCGCTGGCTTAAAACTGCCACCCGAGATATCCGCACCCGCTGGCTTAAAACTGCCACCCGAAATATCCTCACCCGCTGGCTTAAAACTGCCACCCGAGATATCCTCACCCGCTGGCTTAAAACTGCCACCCGAAATATCCTCACCAGCTGGCTTAAAACTGCCACCCGAAATATCCTCACCCGCGGAAATAAAACTGCCATCTAACGGCCTGGTGGTTCAGTTCAGTCTGTCAGTGTCTACCTCGCGAGAATCAAATTACGGGCTGCGCCCGTAAATCATTGAATCATTGATTTCCTGTAGGTGTTTGAAAGCCTTGGGCGTTCTCACCGTTTCGACTTTCCGACGCTCCAAGGCGGCCCAAGAGGCCCCCCAGACCACCCCAAGACGGCCGAAGAGACCTTCAAGAGGGCCTCAAGACGACCTCAGAGCGCCCCAAGACCGCCCAAGAGGCGCCCAAGACGGCCCAAAAGGGCACCAAGACGGCCCAAAAAGGGGCCCAAGAGAGTGAACACCAACCGAGAATCCAAGCCTTCCGCCCCAAGAGGCCCCCAGGAGGCCCCAAGAGGCGCCCAAGAGGCCCCAAGATGCCCCCAAGACGCCCCCAGGCCTCAAAACTGCTTCCGAGAGGCGCCCGAGAGGACCCCCACGAGATCCCAGCGAACGTCCAATATGCTTTCTACCCACAGCCCAGGCACGGTGACGGGATGGGCGGAAGGTCATTCGATGTTCGTAGTCTTTCCTTCGCTCTTGTCGCCCCCCCTGGCCACCCTGCTCTGCCTCCTCGTGCTGGCGACGATGGCCCCGGGAGAACACCAGGATGGCACCGAGGACCCCGCCCTCCTCGCCCTGCCTCTCCAGGCCCTCGCCCTCCCCATGTACAAGGCCAGGGCACGCGCGCCACCCGCCCGAGAGCTGGCGACCGTAGGTTCGCTGCGCTGCGACTGTGCGAAACCCACCATTGCGAGGCCTTCGCTCAACATCTCACCATGAGCCGCGTTATGCTGATGGTCATGAGCCGCATTATGCTGATGGCCCTGGGGCGGTGCATCGGCGACGTCGGCAATGCATCGGCGACGTCTGAGTTGGGAAACACGGGCTCCACATCGAGCCGCATCGTCAATGAATTGGCGCCGCGGCGCGCTCCTCCGACCCCATCTACTCCGAGCCCATCTGGGAAGCCTAGAGGCTCAAAGTTGAGGACATGTAGGCCAAGGAGATGTTTTTCACGCCAAGCGTTCTCTTAGACAGTGGGACTGGCCACGATACACGAAGGGCCTGCGATGAAAGAAAGCCAAAGACACGCAAAGGGTCCAGTCCAGCTTCTAGATTCTCTCATGAGGAATCTGGAGCCCATAAAACAGAACTCCTTCCCCGAGATCTCTGATGGGTGTGCTCGGCTCGGCAGGGTGGACATTCTAGCTTGCAGGCAGCCACGTGGCCTGCGCTGGATGGGCCGAACGCAAATCCGCTCAAGATCGGTCCCCGGGCCCCCTCCCGGGTCGAACATGGACCATGTTTCGGGCCGCGTCCAGCCGTGGCGACGGAGGGGCCCCTCTCTCCCCACACTTGCTGATGGCCGAAACCAATGCTGGGCCCCCTCATCCCCCCGAGCCGGCTCCGAGCGAAATTTCTCCGAGAGCCGCAGCCTCGGACAAACATGCAGCACGGTAAACAACCTCGGCCGAAGCCCTGGACCTCATCTGCCTGCGTCATGCTTTGAGTCCCAGACGTGTCAGTAGAGCGGGCCGGGCGCGTCGCCTGGGTTTCCTCATCATCTGTGACCCTGAGCCTTGAGCTTTGCGACAGATTCGCGGATGGAGGGCGGGTGGTTTCAAAAGGTGGGTCTCGCCTCAGCGCCGCGCGCTTTAGCTTAATCAAGCCAAACAGCTTGGAGGATGGAGGACAAGTGGTTTCGAACATGATTTCTCCCCTCCTGAGCACCTCGCACAACAGTCTTAAAATGTACAATAGTTTCGAGGATGTTGTTTCAAAAGTGTGGCTCTCGGCCGAACTCCGCGCACATTCGTCTTCAGACTTTGCAGCCTTCGAGAGGATTTGTATGGTTGAGAACCCAAGGGTGGTGCTCTGGCGCGATCCAGGATTGCCATGACGCAACAGTCATGATGACGCGCGGTGCTGAAATCACAGGAGCGGTGTTCTGGAACGATGTAAGCATGTCATCGGCACTTCTGAATAGGGGACATGAAGGGAAGGTGTACTCAACATCGTCGGCGCATCCTGGGTTTGCTCTGGTCCTCCTCCTCCTCCTCCTCCTCCTCCTCCACCTCCCCCGGCGGCTCGTCCCGCACTGCCCACGCCCAGGTGCCTTCGAAACTTTGTCCAGGATCCGCTCCCGGCGCCGCAGGAGCATCCGCTCGAGCTCCGTCGGCGGATGCGGGAGCCTCGCCTTTCGGGCGACGAGGGGGGGCATGTCGACCCCGTCTCTGGCAAGGCTCTTCGGAAGCAGGGGCCAACAAGGAGGAGGGGGAGGAGGAGACTTAGACTTCGACATCCCTGGGCGCAAGCAGCGCTATCCGTGATGAGAATTCGCGGGGCGGCATACCTGAATGGCTGCAACTTTGTTTCGCACTGGCACTGGTGGAGAACACTCGGGCCCCCCTGCAGCCCACACGGGGAAACTGAGGGCGCAGGGGCGGCGTCCCATTCAGTCTTACACAGAAGGGGTGACAGCATCCCGCTGCCTTCTCCTGCCCAGGAGGGCCCCACACGGCATCTCCCCGTGCAGGGCAAGGCAGAAGAGCGGCCCGTATCCCCTCCCGCTCTGCGGGGGGCGATTTTGTCTCCCCCGGCCCTTTCCCTTTTACCCCGCCCTTTGGGTCGCGGCTGAACTTTTGCAAGCAGGATCAGGCGGCCCTGGGAGTCCTCCAGACTTCGCTCGGAGAGGGAGGAGGGGAAAAAAGCGAGAACGGACTTTCTACCCAGACAGCCTCTGGATACTAATTGCTCGAGTCGGGCGGATCCCGCCAATGCGTGCATCCTTTTCACTTTTGAACCGCTTAGCTTTGCTCTAGCTTGTTCAAGAGCGCCGGGGCGTCCCACTCCAAGACACCGCGCGGTGATGCTCCAATGGTGATCTCCCCTCGCTGGCGCACAATTTCCTGCCGCAGAATCGGGCCGAACGCCTGCGCAATCTTCGTCATTGACGATGCTCACTCAAGCCGCACTTTGCCCTCCATGCGTTTGCACGTAGGCTTGGCCTCTTTGCCCTGTGGCACCCGCGCGCGGAAGTAGCGCATGTCCTCCGCTGTCTCGCTGAGTTCCTTCTTCATGATGTTGTCGCGCCCATATATGAGCCTGGTCTTCCTCGGCACTCGCGGGCAGGGCGCGAATGAGTGTAGGTGAGGGCCCCCCACTGATGCTGCGTCGCCTGCCTCGTCCTCCGCGTGATCTTCGCCGAGCTTCATCGCCGCCCCGTGGCAGTCCTTGCCCGCCTGGATGGCCGCCTCGACGCAAGGCGCCGCCACGGGAAACAATGCTGCCGCGAAAACTACGCTGATGACCGAGCTGAGGGCGCCAGCCATGCTGAGCACGAGCTTGCCGAGTAGGAGCGCGAGCTGTTGAACGACTTGCGATTTTGCGGCGCCGCGGCCAGCTGCTCCAGAGGCCCCCGCAACCCATTCCTCGGCCGTGGGTTTCTTGCAATCGCTGCCTGCAGGTGCTCCTGGGCGTTTGCCCCGTGGTAAGCTCCACTTGGCGTCCTCTAATTAAGCCATCACCCTTCACCCACACTGGCAGATCTTCGTCCTCTGCCGCCTCCGGCGCCCCGCGGTTGGTTCTGGCCCGCAGTCGCGGGCGCGCGAATGTCAGGTAACTATGGAAGGTGTCTGGCAATATGTATTCGGAGCTCGAACCAACCAAGGACATGCTACGCACTCGCAGCCTGGGCATTGCAATGTTTGGGGTGCATGGGCTTGCGTTGAAGCTCCTGCTAGACCGATGGCGCAGCACCCGCGTCGGGTCGATCGAGCGAGGCGCCGACGAGCTGTGACCTCCGAAGCGAAGATCGCTGCACATACGACGCACACGTTAGCGGGTTATAGAACGGGCACACGTTGAGTACGTGATGAACATGGCGAACTTGCGAACGGAGGTGCCGTTTAAAGTCGAATACCCTCCCACTCCTCCTTCCGCCCACTTCCACCATGCACTTGCAGGTCTCATCCGCCTCGTGCTCCATCGCCTCCTCGGGGCGGATATCCATCGAGCGTCGGTTCCGATGTTCGCTCAGCCTTTCGGAGGTGCACATAGGGGGCGGCATGTTTGCCCGGAGTTCCCTAGCTTTGAAAATGCATACAAAACTGCAGATGTCCTCCCTGGTGAGCAAATCCCTTAGCCATGCGACGACGCTCGGGCCTGCAACCTCCAGCACCGCCTGTGTTTCTTCTGGGCAGTCAGCAATCTTGCCTACCGCATCCCGCACTCGTTTGGCCCGGAGACGTGCGCAGCAAGACAAAGAGTTGGCATCGGCGACGGCGCGATGTTGCTGACCACTGAGAGCGCCAAAAAAGATCCGAAAAGAACTGGGCGCTGTTGTTTCCGTCGCTGGCCGCCTGCTGCAACCACTTCAACCTCCCCGCTCGAAGCTCGACTTCAGCTGTAACAATTTCCTAATGAGCGAGGAATTCGCAGTTAGCCAATGATCGCACCGCGCCATCCTCGTTGCGCGTGCAAGCGCGGCCCCATCGAGCGCCCCGCACCGGCGCGCGGTTGGCAGGAGAGCCTCCGCGGCAGAGAAGGCGGCGTTCACCGCTCGTCCCAATGGCGCAGTGCACCTCCACCCCCGCGGCATGCGCGCCGCACCCCAGAGAGAGCCCATCGAATAAGAATTCTGATTTGCCCGCCTGTACTCTCATGGCTAACTCAATACCGAAACTCTGGATACTAGTAATGATGGGGCCCAAATATTTTGCGCGGTCAACAAGTTTGCCAAGTCACTTATCTCGTCGTTCCCAACGCCGCAGACCACGACGCGTAATCCCACTCCCCAGTCCGCGCAAGGCCGCCATATTCACTCACGTGCTCGGTCGTGTTCTGGGCCAGGCCAATGTCGGTGAGGTAGGTCATCGTCCATGGTCTGGTCGCAGTGCATGAGCTTGCTTCTCGGCTCGTCGATGTTAGCGTCTTCCTTCTCGGCAGGTGGGTGATGCAAGACCGTCTTATTATTGCCGTCCGCGTGCAAGTGCACGCTCGAATCAACCTCGTTCATGGCGATAGGGCACTTGACCGCTAGATTCTTCTCCGCGCGCCTGCAGCTCCCCACCGGGGCGGCCGCGGCTCGACGGCATGGGCGATGGCGCGGGGGGGGGGGGGGGGGGGGGGGGCGCGCGCCATGAATGGGCGCCCCGCGAGGCCTCCTTCCGTCGGCCTGAAGTAAAGTGCAAACGCGCTCGTCGAATGCGCTGCAGAGCCAGATCGCTTACAATTTCAGCGGCCGCGTTCTGCGTACAACCCCATCCGACAGAGGGAAGAGCATTCGTCGCATCTTTGGAGCTGTCCACAAGGGGGCACTTGGACTGCCTAAGCGCGTGAGCCGTCGCCATAGAGGCTAGCGTCGCTGTCGCTCGCCTGCGCCCTGCAGCGCATCCGCGACGTTCAGGCGGGAGGGGGCCTGGCCGACGCGCTCGGACGCAAGGAGCAACGAATCCTTGACCCAACGCTCGCCCTGGTTGTTCACTCTTCTCGGCAGCGTAGCATTCGCTGATGTGCCAGGTCAACGGCAAATTCAGGTGATATCTGCAATTGAAGGCTATGCGCAACCATGCCTCAACTGTCAGCTGCACCTCCCAAATCAAAGCGAACCCCCTTCAACTTCTGATCTCGTTGCGGATGCAATACCATTCAGAACAATTCGGCTGGCGGCGGTCGCGGGGGCGCGCATTTCTCTTCGGCGCCGACTTGAGGTACCACTTCAATATCTTGATGTAGCGCTGGCTCTGCGGGTGCAGTACCGTCCAAGACAGTTCGGCTGGTGGAGATCGCGCGGGGCACGCTTCTCCCTTCGGCGGCGTCCAGAGGTGCCACTTCAGTCTCTTGGTGTCGCGATGACTCTCCAGGAAGGCACTGGTAGCATGCTCATCGTTGAACTCAAGTAGCTGAGCTGGCTCGTTCGCCATATGGTCCCAGTCACCAGGGAGGCGGGGTGCAGAAACAAATGACGAATTTTTATAACAGATTTTTTTGAAATTGAATGTTTTTGGAACGCGTCGAATGCGAAGGGCTTTCGTGCGTGACCAGCATCGCCTGTGCTGCGGTCTCCGCACTGCGCCACGCATATCTCACAAAAAGACAACGCGCGAAATTCAAACGGCCGTCGGCGCATCGAGGAACTCATGAACCAATTCCAAGCAAGCGCGCGCGCCGCTGAAAACAAACGCAAAATACAAGAAACCGAACAACCATGACCGGAACAAATCGACGAATCCTGCATGTGCCAAAACTCGACCCAACGGGCCCGCGCCAGGAAAAAAAAGGGTGCAAAAGCGAGGCCGCACGTGCGACCTCCCTCGCGATCATCGGGCGTTGCCCCTGGCAGCACAGGGGCATTCCAACGACCGCGCGCGCGTGCGCAAGTTTGCTGCATGAGCTAAGACCGCCGAAAACGCCGCGCAGAATCGTCGCATGGGCGAGCATCCGCGACTTGGCGCCCATCCCCGCACGCGAACTCAGCGGCCCCAGCGCGTCGCGAAAATCTACTTTGGGATGCCCCAGCTGCTACTGCGGGCAAGAGTGCGACGTCCGCGGAAATGACCCACATGTCATGCTCAACTCATCAGAATCACGGGGGGGGGGAGGGCGAAAACCACCGAGCACCTACTTCGCCAGAGCAAGAAGGAGCCAGAACAAAGGGACGGTAAGAAGGAGGAAGGGGAGGAAGAGTTCATGACTGGTCGGGCGTAGATACGCTAATATCCCAGGTTGCACCCTCGGCAGCGCACGCGCGAACGCAGGCGAAAAAACGACGACTCGTGAGCGCTGAAAAGGCTCACCGCATCTGTTCCCGAAGCGCTCTTTCAAGAAGCGGCGCCCCGAGAAACGCCAAGAACCCCCATGCTCATATTCACACAGACCTCGCAAGGCGATCAGTTCGCCTGGGACTCGGGGCCAAAGTGCGGTGGCAACATGACCACCGATCAGTCGATCGAACCGAACAAAGAGGAACGGGGACGACTGGCGAATGGATGGGAGGAGTCTGGAGCCTCTGCCGGCTGCCCAGCGCCCACGGGGTCGGACGGCGCCCAATGGGTTTCGGAGGCGCTCGAGCGCCCAAGGTCGAGGGCGGGCCACTCACACTAACATCGACGTCGTCATCTGTCTCATGGGCCCTCCACGTCGCCATGATGCGCAAAGCCCAACTGGTATTTTTTGAATTCTGTTTTTGCCCACCTT